ATCTCACCAGCCCCTTTTTTAAAAAATTTTTGACTACTGGACTCTTTTAGAATATTTTGCTGAGTTAACACACCTATAATATTCAAATGATGGAACTAAACAAAAAAGGGGATACAGATGAATGTCCATTTTGTATCTGTGTATTCAAAATAGTTAGGATAGATATATAGTTACATTCTCTTAATGAATAGAGGGTTTTGTTCTAATAGTGTTTGTAAATAGGATAGCATGTCTGCATCTTGTAAGCAAATAACCACTAGGAAGAGAGTATGCAATGTGTTAATTATTAAAACTGTCCTACTAGTTTGATTTAAAACTGTCTCATTGCTATTTGTTTCTCAATAAAATCATGGGGGGAAAAAAAAGCGCCTGCTTAGGCAGAGTGCAGTGGCCAGGGTTTAATACCTGGTGTGCCATGCCAGCCCTGCCCCTGGGGCACACTGAGATTGAGACTGTGCGCGCCTTTAATCCCAGAGTTTAGGAGGCTGAACAGAGGAGAATCATTATGAGTCTGATCTACGTAGTGAGACCCTATACACCCTGTTCTAAATACATTTTAAATATTTTTTTTAACTTCTTAAGATTTATTTATTTATTTTTTTAAGTATAACATTCAATTTATTATTTCTTTCTCAAGAGCTTTCTTCAGTCCATTAAGACTCAGCTCCGTGGGCTGGGGAGATGGCTCAGTAGGATAAGTGCTTGACTGGCAAACACAAGGATCTGAGTTCAAGCCCCGGTTCCTCAAAAAAAAAAAAAAAAAAAAGACTCAGCTCGGCTTACATGGGCTTTGGTGGAGGTCGTGGGCAGCACCAGCAGGCCTAAATCGGGGTGGAGGAGTTCGGTCCTTGCGGGCTTCACGGGATCGATTTCTGACCACTTTGCTGTGACTGGCACAACTCACACAATCATGCAGCTTCACATACAGCTTGGGAAGCACATGACCGTCGAAGACACTCGCTTCGGAAATGTCCCTGAGGGCGGCGGCCTCCACTGTGTTCCGAATGACAAACTTCTTAATAGCCTTATCCTTGGGTACGCACCGGGCGCAGTTCGTGCAGC